ACCGCTCGGTCAAGCTCTAACTACTACACTAGCTGCCGCTTTCAATCATTTCTTTGAAGTTTCACTCATACCCTTATCTAGTCCGGCACGCAAGGCTCATGCTGGCTATAGACCTTATCCAACTCAACCTCTTCGCCGAGAGTGACAATAGTGGAATAGACTTCTTGTGCAGATGTTTTCTTTCATTCCATCAGTTGAGGATTTAGAATGAGAAACCGCATCGAAGGACTACGGAGTTGAAAAAAGATATTTCTTATATAAGAGAATGCATTTTGAAGCAGAGAGACTCATTTACCAGAAGAAAGCTTCACCCTGACTGGGGGAGTACAAGCGAAGGCAAGATTGCTAAGACTTATTCGATGTTTGGTCTTACGCACATGAAGTAGTAAGCTTAGTTTCCACATTATCCACATCAGTAAACGATCCAAAAGCAAACTCTTCCAAAAAAGAGACCTATTCCACTTATAAAATCCTCGCCGAATGAGAGCTTGTTTCTTTGATGAAGAAAAGCATATTCGGGGAAATTCTGACTAAAAATCATCATCCAACTACAAATCAGAATCAAGGAATACCCGCCTCTTATTCCCCAGTGAATGGATTGCTGAAACTTCGACGGAGAACAGCGGATGAGATCACATTATATACTAGGATAGTTACGAGCACGAGCTGATAACCTGAGAAAGCAGAGAACTTCCATCAACAAGGGGGGAGAACGTTGCTTCACGCTACATCCCAAATGGGCATAGAAGCTGTTTTGCTGTTGTGCTAGAATAGGGTTAGTTAGTTCGAATCAAAAGTGGAGGCTAAAACAGAAAAATTCCCTACTCACTCGAACTACTTCCTTCTTCTACACAAGTAGGCAAGGAAAGCGGAGCTTCCCATAACCTTGTTCCGACGTCCACTCCTAAACCAAGCCCTTAGTCAAAGTCCAAGGGTCTCACACTAGTAGCTCAGAGAAGCTCAATTCGAACCAGTCGAAGTAACCCGTCTTCCCTTGCTGCTCGGTTGTCATAGGAAGTGCGTGGTCATACTTTCTTCCAAATACAGCTAACGAAATGCGAATGCTTCAACGCACTTTTCCGTTCCACAAGCAGTTGAAGAGCCAGCTCAAGCCGACCCCAATGGAAAAAGGAAAGAGGATGCATTCACACTGACAGGACATTCAAAGCTATCCTTCAAACAGCACTTTGAAGTAGACGTCCCTTCCACAAGAAAGCATAACACAGCCTAAATGAAAACCATTATTGATAAGGCAGCAGGTTCCAACACACGTCTCGCTGGGGGTCTTTCCTTTCCAGACTTTTGGCTAGCGAGAAAGTCCGGTACGAAATGAGGATCTCCCAATATAGAATGTGTGAAGTGAGCGATCGCACTTGGAGAACAGGGACAGTGTCAAGTGAACGAGAAAAGGCAAACATGCTAGCGTTCTTGGCCAACCGATCCCATGCCATGCCTTTACTTTTCAATGTCACTAGGAAGATTGATGAATAACTACTTCCAACTCCTGGGCCTCATAAAAGGCAGCAAAACCTTAGATTTACGCATCAATTGTGCACAAACCCTGTAAGAGGGATCAAAAGGACGTTTTCCAGGCTTTTCATGGCAGCAAATACGGCTCTTTCTTCACTCTGTTTGGTCCAAGATTGATGGTGTTGCAGATTATTTAAGTTTGAGTTCTTTCATTTATGGAAGTGTAGAAATGATTTTGATTTGAATGGGGTTAAGTGGGAACCTTCTCGAATTTTGGAAAGAGGCATTTTTCATTTATATGAATGGAAAGGTCATGATGTGCAAGATAATGCTTTTGAAGTCCGTTAGCCCTCATGCTCCTGTAAGGTGGTCAGCTCCAGACATGGGAAGTTTGAAAATGAATGTGGATGCCTCTTTTACTGAGCATACCAGATCTTGTGGGGGTGGCTTGGTTCTAAGGGATCATGGTGGTAGAGCTATCAAGGTGGTCACCATTTTGATTCAGAATTGACGTGGTCCAGAAGCTGCTGTTCTTAAGGAGAGCTTCAAGATTTTGATGCATTGGGGGTGATCGTAATTGAGGGTGATTGCACAAACAAGTCATGGAACTTGAGCCTGTGGACAATTTAGCTGCTGTCATCTGCGAAGACATAAGATTCTGGATTCTGCTACAAATTGGAGATGGAGTTGGTGTCCTAGATATTGTAATAGGGTGGCTCACAATTGGAGTCAATGGGCTATTCAACATCAAAAGAGGAGAAGTTGACTAGGATATATGGCCCAGTAGTCACTATTTTCTCTGAACCAATATTGACTTTCTCCTTTTTCTGATTGAATGGCATTAGCTTTTTGGAAAAAAACCATTCGCAGCCAAAGTGATAGCGGCTGTAGCATCCACCGGTAATGTGTGGAAGGGGGTAAGCTTTCTATGTGGATAGGACGTATCAACACCTTTTGCATCTTTTAAAGGAAATAGATAAGAAGAATATTGCGTTGGGTCCTGAGGACCAGAATGGCCGAAGATCAAAACCTAAATCAGGGGTTGATCATCGAAGCCAGAGGGCAATAACGATGAAGGAATTTGAGCGCTGATGTAGCTCTAACAGCCACCTTGAATAGTCGATTCATTAGGGGGTCGTCGCCTTCTACCCAACTAGTGGAAGTATCCGCCCTTTTCTTTGTCTGTTAAGCCTCACAGCTATGGGACTTCCTAAATAAAACTGCAATCGCTGTTTATCAACCACTCACAAGACCACCGAGATCTTCGACTTAGCTCCCATAATCCACCCGGCGGCTCTTCCCCAACCTATACAATTAGAATAGGGCGGAAGATAATGAAAGGGAGACAAAGTCCTAACTAAATAATCACACAAGCTACCCATGTAATCTATCATCTCAGTCGAGTCGATCCGATTCCTTCTTATCTATAGATAACGCAAGAGAGAACTTATGACCTCGCGGATGGAGAGGGATTCGAACCCCCGGTATTCCTATCAATACTTCGGTTTTCAAGACCGACTCTTTCAACCGCTCAGACATCCATCCCCTTCGCGCTCCGCCCGCCCTATCTATCCGCGCGCTGGCAGGTAGGGGCTTCTCTATGTGATTCGCTACGCTTGCTTGCGCCTATCGGCGGATTCTATTGCCTGCCCGCCGATTAGCAAAACTTTTCCGGTAGTACGAATCGATACGCTTGTTTCTATATGATAATATGTACCTTGGTTGCTGCGCTCCCTGCGGGTAATAGCAAGAGAGTGAAGAACGAATGATCTTCCAAACAAAAAGAGTGATTGACTCCGACTCAAGCGAGTGAGTGAAAGGCATGGCAAGAGAGCGAGTTCGACTCGCGAACGATCAGCAAGTGAAGGACCGGTCCTTTTGCGCCAATACTGTTGCGAGACTGGTACTTGGCGGCTCACGAGCATTTATTTCATCACTCCCTCGCTCTTTTTTGAAGGCCTTTTCTATTCTCTTTCTTAAAGCTCGAAAGCTGCTCAAGACTCTCCCGCGTCGGCATAGGGCGATGCTCGGTAAGACCCTTTTCGGTAATATAGTAGCAGCCTTTCTCTTTACATTTTCTTGGCTATGAGTTATCTCTTTCCTCTCCAATTTTGTTCTGACTTCTTCCTTTTACATTACTAATGGATATTCAAAGTTCTTAGTCTGGTCCCGGAATATTAGTATCTGAGCCCCTCCCCTCATTTGCAGAAAGCTTTTCAAAGCAAAGAAGAGCATTCCCTATAAGGTTCGGGTCAATATCTGGCCAAGAAAGCCTTATGAATGAAATGCAAGACAAGTTCATAGCTAGATAAAAGAAAGAGGGAAGTCTTCTTAATTTGTTAAGAATTTATCCCTGAACTTAGGGAAATGCGCAAAGCTCGCTTTTTCGTCTTTGCCCGCCTCTTCTTCACCAGCAGTAGAGGCTGGAGCGTACCTACCCGGCAAGGGATGAGCCGACTACGAGTCCTGTTCGAGTACTGTGTGTTTAGGCCAAACCAATCCTCTTTGATTGCTGTGAAGGGCTTCTAGAATCAGACTCTAGAATGCAGTTGAGGTCAAAGCATCGAATCAGAGAATGGAAGGCGCAGAGTCTTCAGACACGCCCAACTCTCAGGATTTGGGCTCTTTTTTTTGGCCAGAAGCGGGTAAGAATGACTTATATAGGGGCACTAGTGGATTCACATGCAAAAGATGAAACCTTGATTTCCGAAAAGTCTGGAATGGAGAGGGCAGTCAAGCACGAAGCAAATCGGCATAATAGAAGGCAAGTGTCTTTGCCAATGGGGGTTGTAAGTAGGGATCAAGAAGTGGCAAGAGAGCGAGCAAGAAGGCATTCCATGTCAAAACCAAAGCCCAAACCTAATCGGACCGTTCTTGCCTTTGAGAATATCGGACTTGGCTCCTGCTTTCCCGTGAACAAGAATCAATAAAAGAAAGAAAAGGGAAAGTTGCATGTGTGGTATTCATCTAGCATTCTGCCTTTTCATTTAATTTATTCCACACTCAGTCCTCTCTTATTCTCAAACTGACTGCTCAGGTGGAAGGTACTATTCTGTTCTGCTTGATCGCCTCTTTCGGTTTGATCGTTCACTGCCCTTTGCTTTGAGGGAAAGACAATCCATTTCTTAGCTGAATTTTAGGAGCTAAGGAAGAATTGGATAGCGAACAAACTATCACAATCTCTCACGTGCATAAGACTTTCACCCATTCTTTTGGAATTCATGCAATCACTCTGAACCAATATCATAATATGATAATATATAGTGGTATGGAAGCAGTTCTGCCATTAGAAGTCGAAATCCACCCTCAGCAAATGGAAAGAAACTTACAGAAGCCAAGTGACCCTCCCGCCGTAACATTCGTGTTTGGGAAGCCCTGCACTACCAAACTCCAGAGAAGAAACCCGAAGGCAAAGAAAGAGGGGAGCTTACCACCGGCCACAGGAGTGAGATAGGCCGAAATTGGCTCATTTTGGTTGTATTTTTGATCTTGGGAATCAAAGCAAGGTTTGTGTGGTTTAACCCCTGGAT